TCAGTAAAGAAATTCTTCCTAATCTTCAGTCTAAACCTCCCACCACACAACTCGAGCCCTTTTTCATGCAGTCACAGCCCTGATGCAGCCTGTGGCACACACTGGGCTTCTCTGAGGGCTTTTCTGAAGACAGTTTTTAATGGCACAACTGCTACAAGCTGGATTTGTAACGTGACAGTTCAGACAGCCCTCCCACAAACTGCCCAGGAAGAGCAAAACCAAAGAGGAGAGGGTGGCTGGGACCTTCTGGCTTCCTGATCAGCAAAGCCATTGCCAAATCCACTGCCCAGCCCTGGAGTGAGGGTGCTCCAGAACCAGAGCTGACCAGAACATCCCAAGTCATTAAAGGTGCTACAAACCCAGTTGGAACACCATAGGTTGGGGCCATCTCCACGTGAAGCCCAGCCAAGGCAGTACCTGTGCCAGTCCTGTGCCAAAAGGAAGGTCTTCCCTCTAGCCAAAACAATACCTTGGACATTGATCCCTTCGAGGAGCACTGGCAAACCCTCACTCCAGCTCCTGGCAAAACGACTGCCAAATGCTACAGGTTGGCAGGAAAATCCTTGTTATGAAGGCAAAGAATGATCCCCTGGATCTGGCTGCAGGGTGGGAGAGTCCCTTGGTGCAAGCCAAGGGAACTCCGGGAAGCATGAAGAGATCCCAGGATGTTTGAAGAGGGCAACATCCCAACATCACTCTCCCTGAACCACCACTGACCTGTCTGGATACTCCTCAAAACCCCTGAACCCATCCCCTTCAGGAGTGGGTCAGGATGGCCACAGGGAGACACTTGCCCACGCCCTGATCTCCAGAGTCCTTCCTGCTGGCAGGAGACAGGGCACACCAGTGCTGTGAGCAGGTCCTCCACCCGGGTTTCCTCATGGAGCTCTGAAGACGACTGGAGGGGCTTCCTGGCCAAAGAGCTCCATCCCTCTGTTGGGCAGTGCCCAGGAGGGAGAGGCACAGCAGCCCTGGCCTCAGATCCAAGTTGGCTGTGGGCTGAGCCGAGCTGCTGGGCTCCCAGGGCAGGTTGGGTGATGCTCCCCCAGCCTCGGTGCCATCAGGAGGTGCCCAGCAGCACCACCAGCACCGCTGGAGGCAGCGAGGGGCAGGCTCCTGGGCCAGGCAGGGTCCAGCTAGGACTCAGAGAGGCACAGTGCCTCCACAGCACTGCTCAGGCCCTGGCTCACCCCACCCACGGCCAGCAGGCAGTTCCCGAGCACGATGCTGGAGCAGGCACAGCGTGGGGTGGGCATGGGGGGCAGGCTCTCCCACTTGTTCTTCTCGGGATGGAAAGCCTCTGCAGACTCCAGGACAGTGGGCTGGTTTCCTAGAAGCACAAGTTGAGGCATTGGGTCACCTGGGAAGCACCAGCAACCATTCCTTGTCTGCTCCAGTGTCTATCTCTGGATCCCATCCCCTCCTGGGGTCTGTTTTTCCTGCTGCCTCAGCACAGCCAGGGCCAGGATCACTCACCTCTCTAACAACACAGGACTCAGAGATGCTTTTAAAGTGTTCCCACCATCCCCAGCCCCTCACCTAGTCCCCCAGCCACAACGACTCTGCCTTTCAGGTAGCCAGCCACGAAGTCTGCTCGCCGTTTCTTCAGGTAGAAGGAGCGTTCCATCTTCATCCAGCCACCTGGGAGAAACAAGACAGACCATTGCAGGAGCATCTGCTGCTGGGAAACCATCTGCCTCTCTGCCCTCCTGCTTGCTTGTGGAAGAGCAGTTTTGCTGCTGCACCTTTGGGTGGTAAAACCTCATGACACAGAGGTCAGCTTCATCACCACCAGGTCAGGAGGGAGAACCCAGCACCCTCTGGACCATGGTTTCCCCCCCTGCTGCCTGCAGCTCTCCCTCCAGGCTGGGCTCAAGGCACCAGCAGTGCCAGGGGTCAGCTGATGAGACCTCTGTGCTCTGCAAGGACAGGAGAGCAAAGCTCTGCAAGGATGACAAAGCCTTGGATGCCACCAGCCCTGCTCCCCCGGGGAGGACAGAGCTGGGACAGCCCCCACCTTGCTCCATGTCAAACATATCCACGGTCCTCATGAACTTGGGCTGCCTGTAGAGCCGTCCCTGCCGCAGGCCCCCGAGGCTGAAGAGTTTGTCTTCTGTGGGCACGAAGCTGGAGAAGGCCCTTTTGTTGGGGATGTTGGGAAACTTGGTCCAGGACCTGGTCTCGGTGTCGAAGACCTCGAAGGCGTTGATAGCGTACTTGGACTGCCTCCCACCTGGAGCAGGGAGAGGGGAAGAAAAGGGTCAGCTTGGCTCCTAGCACCAAGGCAACAGCAGTAGGGACAACAAGCAGACTGCAAATTAGGTCAGAAAATCCTTTCTGGCAAGCCCTAAATGAAGCCAGGGCTGGCTGGTGGTTTGAGCAATCAGAACTCCTGCGTTTCAATCCCAACATCCTATTTGGCCACGAGTTGACAGCAACATTTCTCTGCCTCAGTTTCCCTTTCTGTAAAGCAAAAACTAACTATGATCTTCCCCTGCAGAAGGCTTGGTCCAGCATTTCTCAGCTCCAGCAGGTCTTTCCTCTGCCAAAGGCAGACCCTTTGTGAAGCTGCACTGCACTTTGTTAATAGAGATGGCATAGAAGTTCTTTCACTCACTAGTTGAGTCCAAGGGATTTTACAGGAGCCACAGGACTGCAAACTGAGCAGGCAAAGAGCAGCTGTACCCTCAGCTCCCAGTGCAGAGCTGCTGCAAGCCCTGCAAGCTCCCACAACGTTCACGGGTGCAGGGGTTCTCCTGGGTGCTTGCTATGGAGCTGTGAATCCAAACCCAACACCAGCCCCCCTCAAAAATCTACAGCTGCAAGCTTGCTGCTTCTGAATGCATCAGAAAGGAGGCAGGGATGGAGAGGAGCATTCCCAAAAGCCTCTCCCAGGGATGGTTCTCAGCACTCAGATCAAAGGAGCTGCTGCCTGAGGAGGAAGAGGAGGAGGAGGCAGGAGTGCTTCTTACCCAGCACGTAGATCTTGGTGCCTCTCAGGAAGGATGTGGCAGCGTACCTGGGTGTGGGCATGGCTGCCAGAGACACCCAGATGTCCTTCAGCATGTCATAGTGCTGCAGGTAGTTGTGTGGCCGCAGGTCAGATCCCATCCCACCAGCTGCATAGACTCTGTAGTCTGGGCAGGGCCAAGAAGCAAAAAAAACCCAAATAAAAGTCATGCATTATGATAGGAGAGCATCAGAAATAACCCTCTGCCAAACCACAAGCGTTGTGATACAACGTGGATCAGAGCAGTTCCCTCTTACCATGTCCTGAGCTCCCATCCCTGGGGCAGAGGGGGATGCACTGAGCCCCTGGTTCCTGCAGGGACACTGATGCTCTTCCCCCAGCCCCACTCCCCCATCCAGGGGCTGCTGCTCCTCAGCCCAGCTCCTGCTCTGCCCCAGGATGGTGGCTCTGCAGCCCTGATGGGAGGGTTCAAAGCTGAGACAGGCAGTGAGGCTACTCACTCCCCACCAAATCCCTGTCAGCTCTATCCATCTCTGGCAGAGCTGGTCTGCAAACCAAACCCCTACCCGCACAGCACCCGCATCATCTCCCCCAGCAAGAACTTTGCTTAACAGGCAAGAGCAGTGGCAGCAGCCCTGTCCTTGCAGGCAGCTGAAAAAGCAGAGACCAACCTGCACGGGGCAAGAATTTGGGCAGCTGGTTCTGTTCCTGGCCTCTCCCATCAAACTGACCCTGCCCTGTCAGTCAGGCCAGCTTATATCCAGAGAGAAAATCATCTCCAAGATGGTAAACATTATTTTTAAACATTCCTTGACAGTAGCTTTTAAACCCACTTAAGCAAACAAAGCAAGAAGCTGCCTGGAGATTAGATTGGTAATCCCAGGCTCAGCGGGAAGCTGCCTGACCTCGGGCACATTGCTGGGGAACACAACTCTCAGCCCCAGGCTCTTCAAAGCAAATCAGTGCCCGACTTTTCTGCTTAGGAGCTATAAAACGAGATGGGCTGACAAGGCAGAGCCTCACAGGCGTTGAGCAAGCCCCATTTAAGGCAGTGGTTAAGCTTTTGGCAGGGAGCAGCTAAGGAGCCCCCCACAACACCAGTTGCTTCCCCTCCTTGTACAATGATCTGAGCCCTGACCATGCAGCCAAATCTCCTGGCTGGTTCTGGGTCTGGAGCAGAGATGTCTTCTCAAACCAAAGCTATTCTCTGGCTCCAAGACCTTCATCTTTGGTTCCACAGCTCAGTCAGGTCCTCCCAGCCTGGCTACGCTCACCCAGCAGCACCATTCCTATTTTTTTCCAGCATCTGCAGCACACAAGGACCAGAATTTGCTACGAAGTTTAATTTGAGACCCTGGAGCTTGGACCTGTCTGAAATACCCCTGGGTACCAGCACAGCCATGGCTCTCGTGGCTCCAGATGATGATCCAGAACAACCCTCAGATCTTCTACCTTTGACTGCCTGAAGAACAGTCACCTTTAGCAGGTGGGATACAACAAATACACAGAGTTCTGCTCCTAACAGCACAGAAAGGATTTTGGAGAACAACCTATCCCCGCGCCACTGCCCAGGAAGCCTTTGTGCCCGATGCATCAGGGGGTGCCCACCCTCCCCACCCCACCCTGGAAGGACTGAACCCTCCTTGCCTTTTGATGTCACCGAGATGCCCATGGCCGGCTCTCTCAGCGAGCTCCTCTTCTTCCACTTGCCCTCCTCTATGTTGTACATCTCCACTATCTTCAGAGGCATCTGATTCACTCCGACCCCTCCTATCACCATGATCCTCTTGCCCAAGTTGGCCACGGCCACGCCAGCCCGGGCTGTGGGCATGGGGGGCAGCGAGGTCCACTGGTCAGCCTCGGGGGAGTAGACCTCAAAGCAATCCATGGGCACCCCGTTGTCATCGCAGCCCCCGATGGCAAACACTTGCCCACCAGCCTCCACCAAGGTGGAGTAGACCCTGCGGCTCGGGAGGGGGGCGAGGCTTTTCCACTGGAAGTCTTTGGCACTAGCGAGCTCCATGGTGGCTGTTTGGGCAGGGCAGCATCAGTCCCTGGCAGGGCAGGGGGCTGGCTATGCTGCAAAACAGAGCAGAGGATGCCAGGGAAAAGAAAAACAGAGAAACATGAAGTGCAAACACCGACATCCCACCGGGAGAGCCACAGGAGCAGGGATTGGAGCTGGGAGCAGAGCATCCCCATCACCAGGTTCCCACAGCCAACCCCTCCCAGCAGCCCCCTCTGGTACCTGCCGTGAGCCTCTATTAGTCGTGCTGGTCCAGATCTGCCTCAGAAGCTCACGTAGAGGCTGGCCCTATAAATAAAACAAAACAAATGATGAAAGAAGCAGGCAGGAGGTTGGAGTCAGTTTGTTAGCCTGTTTTCCTGAGCATCCCCGCCTCCCAGCGACGTTCAAACGGAGGAGGCTGCAAAATCATCTGTCTGCTCTCTTCCCTGGCTGGTTTCCTGCCTGCTGAGGAACTTTTCCTTGTGTCCTTCTCTGTCTCAATTACTCCTGCTGCAAACCCGGGGCTCCCACAGCCCTTGGCTGGGAGAGGGGAAGTGCAGCACTCAGCTCTCCATCGCTGACCCATGGAGCTGTGAGGGATCCAGAAGCAGCCCAAGGAGGACAGGCTCAAGCTCTCACTGGCAAGCCCTGATCTTTTTGTCATTTCCTCTCTAGGCATGGCCATTAAGCATGCAGATGAGATTAATTAGTGCAAGAGGACAGAGAGAGGGCAAAGTGAAAGGAAGAGAGGCAGCATCTCCCTCACTCACCTGGTGTGGACCAAGGTGCATTTTCCACTGAGCATCTCCACCTTCAGTGTATAACTGATAAAGATTCACCTTTACCCCTGCAGGCACTGCAGCCTCCCCCAGCACATGCTGCCTGCACGAACATTTGGAGACAGGACTGTTGGGTGGAGTGAGCAGTTGCCAAAAAAGAAAACCCAAACCACCAAAGGCAACGTACTCCAGGCTGAGCATCACTCTGGTCCAGGACAGCATCATTCCCTCTCCTACCCATGCACAGACTCCAGAGGCTTTTCCCTGTGGATGCTGAGGTCCTACTGATCCCCTGAAAAGAGCTTCCCTGGCAGCAGAGCAGGGCTGGCTGGCTCTGTTTCTGTGGACCATAGTCTGAAGAGCTGCTGGAGCAGAGGTTTCCTCCTAGACAGACACCCCTGCCTCCCAGCTGACACCCAGCCCAGGCCCATCTGCTGCTTGGGGTTATTCTTCCTCCTGACAAAGCAGTGTGGGTGTGGGGTGGGTAAGAGCCAACTTGCTCTCTCCTCCTTAAAATACCTAAGCACAAACAGAGCAACCACCAGTTACAGCCCTTGGGGTTCTGAAGGGGGTGGACTCCCTCCTCCCCAAAACCAGATTTGTTTCCTGCCCCTTATCTGGAGCAGAGATTAAACAAGTGGGCTCTGCAGAACTCCCTGCCCCAGGAACAGCTCACCTCCAGTCTGCACCCTGCTCCCCAGGTCTGACCACAGCCCTTCAGCTCTCCAAGCCAGAGCAAACAGAGCCTGTAGCTTAGCAACAGCCACTTTTCATCACCCCTCACTTCAGATGGTCCCAGGGGGTCTCCTGATGCTTTCTGGGCACCACAGCGTGGAGCAATGTGGATCCCCTGGAAGGGGAGAAGCCTTGGGGAGCACCAGGCTGCATCCAGGGCATAGGCATGTGGGCTATTGCTGCTGGACCCCACGCTCCCCCTGCATGTAAGTGGGGATGGACATTATTTCTGCTATAAATCCATGCCTGCTGTGTTCATCAGGGAAGCAGGGAGACAGAGGTGACCCTCGGACCACAGTGTCTGCTGTTATCTCAGACAGGTCCCACTCAGCATCCCCACAAACTCCTCATCTCTGCCTCGGGGCTCAGCCCACAGAGTCCATGTGAACAGGAGATCAGTTTCTACAGTCATATTAGTTCCTACATCTCCTCTGAAAGTGTGAATTAGAGGAGAGTGATGGAAAAGCATCAGCAAAACAGGTCTCAGACAACTGGCCTAAAACCCACCAAAAAAAATCACTTCACATACAAGTCTGAGCTGGCACGAAAACCAACGAATCCAAGCAGGGCTGTTTATTTTAATGTATTCTCCCAAATAAATCTCAGTAGTCAGCTAAGCATCATTTATTGCCTAAAGAATGTGGTTAATAAACCCATAAATACTCCTCGGGCTGCTGAGGCTCCAGCAGCAGGACCCAGCCCGGCACATGCGCACAGCCTGGCACCAGGGGGGCTGCAGGACAAAGGAACACAAAGCAACAATAAAAAGCAGCAGCAAGCCCAGCAGCTGAGGAGAAAGGGGCAAATAAAAGACTAGATCACCCACCTCCAGTCTCCCCCCTTCTCTCCAACCCCTCTCCTCTGGTGCACCCGTCGCTGCTTTCAGCTGGATCAGCTCAGGGATTTTTGCCTTGGCTGTTTAAGCAGCTCTGAACTGTTGCTCTCATGAATAATTTATTTTTTTCCAGGTGAATTTTCATGCATCACCACGGACAAATTCAGCATGGGCCAGTAAATTAGAAAAGCAGAGCCAGCTCCTATTTCCAGGAGCACGACAGATTTGCATCCTGACCTCCAAGAAGTCATTTTCCTGCCCTGAGCCTCAATTTCTTCAACCATAAAGTGCAGGCCTGGGATGAGAGACAAATCAGCATCACTCAGAGGTCTGACAGGAGCTGAACCTGGCTGGTGCTGGCTTCTCTGCTGTCATTAATACTCTCCAAAGCTCAAGCATAATTGTCTAAAATTGCCTAAATAGTCTTTTCCAACATACCAGCACACAGAGCACGATTCAAAGCGTTTGGAGGTGGCTGTGAAGTGCTGGGCAAGTCCTTCATGAGAACAGGCAGAGCAAAGAGCTCCAAATTCAGCCTGGCTGTGGTCCCAGGCAGCAGGAACCAGCAGACCCCCAGAGCCACCACCTCCAGCAGCAAGGCAAAGCTCTGCCTGCATCCAGCTGCCTCGCCAGGCAAACACGTTTGATTTTCTTCTCTTTTGTGTGCTCTGAAGACAATCGAGGTCAGCTGGAAACACTGTGCCCACCCCCCTGCTCCCCATCTCTCCAGCATCACCTGAGCCTCGCTGGGAGGCAGTGCCAGCACTGTGCCAGAGCTGGGAGCTGTCAAAATGTGCTGACCGTGCAATCCTGAGCTCTGCAGCCATGTTCTCCTCCCAGGCAGAGGGAATTATCACTTCATTACACCAAACAAATTGGAAGCATTAACTTTTTTTTTTTCCCTCTTAAATGGCTACATTAAAATGAAAATGAATGGTAATTGCTCCTCCATCCGAGGAGATGGCAGGCACGGTGCTGAGCCCTTCCCCTCCCAGGACAGAACCTCCTGTTTGAGAGCTCAGCAAGCAGCACAGCACCCACACACCCACCCCAGGGTCCTCACCAAGTGGCTCTGGAGCACGGCTGGGCAGGGAGAGCCCCACAGCACCCACCAAGAGTGGGACAGGGCTCTGGTGGGAGAGTGGGACCTGTTGGTCCAGGAGCTGGAGCTCCTCATGCTCTATCACCCAGATGCTTCCTCCAAGGAGGGGCCATTCCTCACCCCACAGGTTACATCAGGCTCGTTTTAGAGCTCCTGGTTTAGTGGCATTTATCTCCTGCCATGCTTGGTGATTTCTCAAAGAGCCTGGGGGGTGTTAGAGTGCCAGGTGGGCTGCACAGGGCACAGACCCCTTGGTGCTGCCAAGTGCAGCTGCTTTTGCTTTCCTTCCTATCTCACCTCCCTCCAGGATTTGGTTTTGCCACTTTGAGTTTGAAATCCCCTCAGCTGCAGAGGGCCAGCAGGTGAAACCTCCACCCTCCAGGGTGTCCCTTCAGCTGGTGCACTACCCTAAATATTGCATTGCTGCACGAGCACAGAGTGGAAATATATTTACACCTTTCCACACTGAGAGCAATTCCAAAAGGCCCCAGAAGATGACAAACCATGTACATACTCCCAAATCTTCTATTTTTAATACTCATGCTGAGGATATTGAGCCCCGAGACATCACTATACACCCCCTCCAGCCACACTTCTGCATAACACACACAACCCCTCCAGGGAGTGACTCAGGGCTAGGGATGGAAAGAGATCCCTAATCCCCACCCAGCCCCAGGCAGACACAGCTCTCTCCCAGCTGATCCCTGCCCTGTTTGTTCAACCTGCTCTGCCAAGCCTCCAGCAGTTCCACAGCCCCAGGAGCAGATTGCTGCTGTGCCTCTCCAGCTCAAATCCTCACTTGGGGGTCAGCGTTCATTCTAGGGACACCACAAAGATCCAGGAGACCCCCCCCATGCTTCATCACAGCACCCCATCACAAGTTCACTTGATCCATCCCCAGCTGACCCTCAGCTTTGCCAGCTTCAGTAGCATGACCCCAGATTTCCACCTATGGATCTGGGGTCGGGTCAGACCCAGGGTGCCCATCACAGCCCCACCAGGAGCTGTGCCCCCAGAACAGCACTGCTCCCCACTTCATCTGCCAACTGCCAAACACCCACACGATTCACTGCTCAGAGGACAGGCAGGAACAGGGGCAACACCAGGCTGGAAATAGCACACAAACAACGAGCTGGAATCACAGCTCCTGCTCCTCAGCACCAGGCAGGAGCGAGTGGCTTCCTCTCAGCTCCCTCTTGTGCTATCAAATCAAGAGCAGGGCCGGATGACACAGCACAGGCTTGATGAAGACAGATAAAAGGAGATGGTTCTGTGCAGGGAACCCCTTTCTGTCCCAAGGAACAGGCCTAGCACAAGGCCAGGAGGGGGGCACGGGGAGGAGATCCCCAGGGATCTCATGCACTGCCAAGGAGGGGGGTCAGGCACAGCCCAGCTCTCCCCTGTGCTCCTGCCTGGCTCCCCAGTGTCAGTCCAGGTTACAGCAACACTCGGGTGCTTTCCTGGTGCTGCTCCCAGCACGGGGTCCAACGCACAGCTTGGAAGAGAGTTTGGAGGTGCCAGTGCCCTGTGGCTCATCCTTCCTCCCAGAGTGACCCTGGAGCCA